TATGAATTAGAATATATGTACAGAGTCATACAACCACAACCACAATCAAGTCTATTACCCCAGAAACTACTTCACCCATCTCTTTGTCACCATACCTTCTTCCCACTCCAACCCTAGGAATCATAGATTTGTCATTTTGAGAATATCACATAAATGAAATTATACAGTATGTAGCTTTTATTGAACAGCTTCTTTCATCAGATTTATCTAAATTGTTGCAGGTGTCAATAGTTCATTCTTTTTTGTTGCTGAGTAAATATTTCATTGCATGTATCACAGTTTACTTAGCCACTGAAGGACATGTGGGTTATTTCCAGCTTTGGGTGATTATGAATAGAGCTAGTATAAATATCTGTGTACCAGTTTTTGTGGAAACATAATTTTTCATTTCTTCAGTGTAAATACCCAGGAGTGGGATTACTGGTAAATTGTTTTTAACTTATGAGAAACTGCCAAATTATCTTCAAGAATGGTTGTACCATTTTGCATTCCAATGAGCAACATATAAGAGTTTCAATTGCTCTGCATCCTCAACTACACATGGCATGACCTTTCCAATTTTAGCCTTTCTAATCATTGTGTAATAATATTTTATAATCATTTTAATTTGCATTTCCTGATGACTCATGATGCCGAACATCTTTTGAAACGGCTACATTCTTGAAAACACAGAGTCTTTATAAAAGTAAACATGCTGTACTGTAGAATCAATTTTTTTACGGTAGCCTGTACAGGTAATATTCAATAAAAGGATATGAAGTTTCCTCATGGCAGTAAAATTCAGAAATTAATATAATGATATGGAAAGGAGAATAAATTTTTTAAACCCTACCTTTTCTCGCTGAAACCAAACCTGCCAATCCTGAAACCGTAATCACTCCAATTTTGGGAAGAAAATCTCCAGGTGGATTCTTCAGATAAACATATGCATCTCAAAAAATCAGTTAAAAATTAATGTAAATGACTTATACCACAATTGGGCAATCTACATGATTATAATGCAGAAAGGCTAAAAGGGATTTGTGAAGATAAGAGTAGATGTTTTGAATATTCTTCAAAAGAACTATACAAAATAATGACATGAACAGCAATTTAAAGGATAATTATAATAGGTACTTGTTACAAAATGAAATCTTTCTTCAGTGGCTGATTTACTGTTTTCTTAATGATACAGGTGACATTACTCTTTAATGAAACATGATGCAAGACTGTACACCTTAATATGGATTACTGTAAGGTTAATTCCCAATTTTACATGTATTATATTCCTAAAATGCACATGCTTCTGCCCTTAACTGTTCAAAAACTGGGAAGATCCAGTAAGAACCAAAGTACATATTTTATTGGCTGAGATTGCATCTGAATTGTTTCTTAATTTGGTTAAAGAAAATTTAACCAAAAAATACTCTTGGGATAAAAAAGTGTTAAAAAATACTCTAGGGATACACTCAGCTACTAGACTCTGCTCTTAAGTAAAACCAATGATCAATGGTGAGAAGGGAGACTAGATAAGAAAAGATGAAGAGTGGATAGAAGTATAGATTTCTTGTTTTTGTTTTGTTACATATTTGTTTCTGGTTCTATGTAATCCAAAAATACATTCTTCCATCATAGTTAATTATTTAATGGCAATCATTTATTTAATCATATTCCTCATGACTGCTGAGGGAGACAGCTTTGAATTAATTCCTATATACATTAAATAATGGTAATTCAAGTACAGGTTACTGCCTTTATAGAGACATCTAAAATTTTACCTGGTCTTTCTGTCCCTCAGTACATATTTATTTTGTCAACTGACTTAAGCCAAGCATATTAGAAAGCTATATCCTTTGCAAAACACCATATAATAAACTACACAGTCAAACACAATGTATTCTAACATGAGCATAAATATTCCAAGGTGACTATTTGTCATATTGTTTCCTAGCAATCAATAGCAAAATACTATGTATTTTAATAGCAAATAACATTTATTTAAATTTAGTAACAACAATGGAGGCATCTTAAGGTATGCTTTACGAATATATGTAATATAGACTGTGCAGTTAAAACACCTTGTTTTAAGTCAAAGTACTGGCTACTTACTAGCTATGTAACCTTGGTACCCTATTTAACCTTTCTAAACCTCAGTTTCTTCATTTGTAAAATGGGGATAATTATAATAACTTACAGAATTGATTAAAAAAATTTAGAAAAATTACATAAAATGTTAAGCACAGTGCCTTAGTAGATAATAATCACTAAAAAATAGTAGTTACTATTGCTTTGTTATTTTAAACAAACTGCGACAAAGTTATCTTCTGAGGTAGCAAAAGCCTGATAATGGATAACTTGCCATATTTATTTTTTCTCACATTTAAATCTTATAATTTTTTAAAAAAATAGAACATTTCAAATTATGGACAGTTTATTCACCTACCTTTTCCAAACTGTACTGTATCCATTATTCCATTTTTCACAAAGACAAACACACCCTAAGCATAAAAAGGGGAAAATGCCATTTGTATTTTCTAAGTTGTTGATAATTAGATAAAATAGCCTACATCTCTGAGATTATGTAAAAAATTCACCTGATAGATTAAATAATAGGTAAATAGTTTTTGTTTACCTTTTAGAAAAAAGTTTCTCAGTTATCTCAACAACAGAGATTAAAAACATAGCACTGCACACAGATCTAAATCTAGCTCTCCTATTTATTAATCAGATTTTTTTAAAAAAGAGAATGGATTAGAAACTAAAAAGCACAAGTGCTCAAACTTGGATAGCCTAGATTTGAAGAAAAGTTGTATAGTTATGAGACTAGAATGATTAAAACACTGGTACCAACATTATCATTCAGCTACTGACACTGGTAATACTGATGCTAGAACAACTACGTTGATATGATGACAATGAAGTGGTTTTTAAGCTTGTTCTACTTCTCTGCTGCCAGATAATGCTGACTAAAGGCAGACTATTAAAGTCAGGTGAATTTTGTTTTTCCCAGTAGCTGACTGTAGTCAGAACGATCTTAGGAGTTAAATATGATAAGTGAACAATTTTCTTTAACCAAATTAAGAAACAATTCAGATGCAATTTCAGCCAAATAATGCCTTGTGCATACTAGGTTAACACATACATGCTTGCTGAACTGCTTTGACCAATGCAGTGGTGGTACAATAGTTTCAATATAGCCACACATTCTTTGATGCTATTCTCATTGACAACCAAACCAAAAAACCAAACTCACTGCCATCAAGTAGGATCCAACCCATAGCAACCCCTCCTTGGGTTTCCAAGGTGGTATCACTACAGAAGTAAATTGCCCAACATTCCTTCCAAGGAGTGGCTAGTGGGTTTGAACTGCCAGCCTTCTAGTTAGCAGTCAAATGCCTTCGGAACTACGCCACCAGAGCTCCTATTGACAGGTGGCATCTAATCCCCTTCCCTTTACAACTGTGCTGGCCTTAGTGACTTGATTAAACAACAGAATGCTGTTAAAGTGACTTTCCTGGAAAGAAAGTCCTGGGACTTCTTGGAAGATTCTCTCTGGGAGCTCTGGACTACTCATGTAAGATATCTGACTACCCTGGAACTACCATGCTTGAAAGGCCATGTGAAGGTGTTCCAGTCAACAATCCTAGCTGAGTTCAGTCTTTTCAGTCATCCCTGACAAGGTGCCAGGAATGCAAACAAAGCTGCCTTGGATTCTTGTTCTGGTTACCTAGTGCCACTCCACAAATGGGATGGCCATAACAAACAGGAGTTTATTCTTATAATTTGGAGGCTTTAAGTCCAAGTTCAAAGTGCCAAGCTCTAGGGGATGGGTGAAAGCCCCTCAACCTTGGGGTCCAGCTCTGCCTCCTGCTCCTGGCCCACTGGAGCTAGAGGCATTTCTTCACTCAGACAGCTGCTGGCTGCTGACGTTGAGAAGCCCCAAGGTTGACAAGTAAAAAGGCACAGTCCCGATGTTACCAATCCACATGGCAGGCCATTAACTTAAGTCCACTGTAAGTCCCAAGGTTGGCAGAGTATAGCAGGCTGCTGAGCAATGACACAGCTACAAGCAGGGTCCAAGCGTGCCAAAGGCTAGAGACCATTCCCAAGGCTTCTCCTTATATACAGGAAGCAGACCACATCCCAAAGGTAGCTACTCAGCTGCTCCCAGTAGATTCCACCATGGAGTTGATTACCAGTCTCATCATGGGGAATACTACATCCAGCTGCCCAGCCATTCAACCAGGCCTAGCCAAGTTGACATACAAACATAACCATCACAACTCTCTAAATATTAGCCCATTTGCCAGCTGAACACCACTGAGTGAGATCTGTCAATAAAACACGCAAGAATCATCTGGCTGAATTCTGGTGTCAAAGTCCATACAAAATCACGAGCTATAATAGAATGACTGCTGTCTGAAGTCACTAGGTTTTGACATAGGCCACTGGAATAACTGGTATGTAATGGTATATAATACAAATAAAAAACTTCCAGTATTTACTTACCTTGCACCAGCCAACATAACGACCAGTTGTAGTACGGATGGAAGCAAAGCCCATTTGTAAACGACCAGGCTGTTCTTCAACATATTTAGACTTGAGAGGTGGTGCAGTATATATGGGGAGCTAGAGGGAAAAAAAAGTTCATGTAAAGAACATAAAACAGATGAACTTCTTTTTCCAGAAGTATAATAGAACAGAAATTATCAACAATCTTCCAGCTAAAAACAACTAAAAGTGATGGACAAAATATTTTTTCCAACCACCTTAGAGGCAAGGATGCTGGTAAACTGGCTATAAAGAATATTCAGAGACCATAAATTAAGTAAAAACAGAAATCCAGAGGGATAACCAATAAACCCAGGTTTTACTTTAAAGTCATTTGTTAGAACAAGTGAATATGGTACATGGAGTATTGGGAACTATAAACAAAACCAAGAACTGCATATGGTGGGAAATCCAGACACTGTAAAGCTTGTATCTCAAATTGTTACCTACTCAAGGGTAAACTAAAAATAAACCATCTATGAAGGACTGCAAGGAAAACTACCACTTTAAAGCCTGGGCACTGAGTGGAGGGAAATATTCCTTAAGAAATTTGCAAACACAAAAGGATTTATACAATCTGCAGCATGATATTACCTTAGTATCTGAGAAACCTCAAGCCAAGAATATATTTAAAGTGCTCCCAAGTGGATAGCACTCACCAACATCCACAGAATCCAGAATACATACAGAACACTTAAAACTCTATAGTAAGAAAACAAATGAGCTAATAAAAATGGGCCAAAAATTTGGACACTTCACTAAAGAAGATGTAGGAGGTAAATATAAACAAGCACATGAAAGATTCTCAAAAAATTCATTAGCATATTAAAATTAAATCTATAATGTGATACCTCTATACACCCATTGGAAAGACAAATATATAAAATGATACTCAATTTCATTATTAATTATGAAAGTGAAAAATGAAACCAAATGATATAGTGTTTCATCACTGGATTGGTAAACTAAACTCTGATGATATCAAGTGTTACCAAGAATGTGGAGCAGCCTACACTTTGGCATGTTATAGTAAAATTGGGATGCCACATAATACATGATCCAGGAACTCCACTCCCAGATATATTTAGAGAAACTATCGGACTAGTAGGGGCTCTGATGGCACAGTGGTTAAAGCACTGACTGCCAACTTAAAGGTCAGTGGTTCAAACCCACCAGCTACTCCATGGGAGAAAATTGAGGCAGAATGCTTCAATAAAGATTTACAGCCTTGGAAACCCTACGGGGGCAGTTTTATTCTGTCCTATGGGATCTCTATGAGTTGGAACTGACTCGATGGCAGTGGGCACTGTACTAATGGACTTGAAAATCTGTAGAAAAAAAATGTTCAAAGTAATACCTTAATTGTAAAAATTTGGAAACAACCCATATGTCCATCAACAGAACAGATGATGAAATTGTGATATATCCATACAATGGATATTACGCATTACAGAAAATACATAATTTTACAACTAGCTACACAGAACAATTTGGATGAGTCTCAGGAATACAATATTGAGCAAAAGTTAAATTGCAGGAATTTACATGTAGGTATGTTTCCATTAACATATAGTTCAAACACATGACAAATCAAAAATATATATATTGTTTAGCAATGTAGACATGTAAGGTAAAACTATAACGGAAGGAAACAGTAATAAAAATTCAGGGTAGTAGTTACCTCTGAAATGATAAAGAGGGATGAGAACACAGACCATTTTGTTTTGCTTTTCCTTCGAACAAAGATGTACCTACCAAACTAGGTGGTTGTTGTTGTTGTTGTTATGTGCTGTCGAGTCAAACCCGAATTCATAGCGACCCTCCTTGGGTTTCCGAGGCAGTATCACTACAGAAGTAGGATTGCCCAACCTTCCTTCCGAGTAGTGGCTGGTGGGTTTGAACCGCCAGCCATCTGGTTAGCAGGCAAGTGTCTTAGCCACTATGCTACCAGAGCTCCCAACTAGGTGGTAGGTACATCTTTGTTGATCATATTATTTTTTATACTTTTTGTATATTGAATAAACATTCTTTTGATGCTAATCAATATTTGAGAGAAACAAATGTAAAACATGAAAACATTATAAAATGTTTAACCAGGTAAAGATTTATTTCATTAAGAAACAAAACAAAGCAAACTATTTTTAAGTTGGGCTATATTTTAAGGTTCAGAGTGCAGAACCTTTCTATGAAATTTCATAAAGACATAAGTGGGGGAGAATCAAGTTTACCCATCAAGAACAAGGGAAGTAAATTACTAATGGCTTTGGATTTGATCCTCCAGCAACAACAAATAAGTGACAGTAGACGTTTGGTGACACTTATCCAGTAGTGGATCACAAAAGCCTTGTTTTCCCTACTCTTGATAAAGTTACAGTTAATGCTTGGATTTAAATTCACCAAGTTGGTAACTATGTGTCATTTGGAAGGTCAGAAGTGTATTTTTATATAGGAGGTGCATTTCTATAAATATAAAGCCTGCTCCTCTAGAAAGGAAGGAGCTCTGGTGCTGTAATGGTAAGGCATTTGGCTGCTAACCAGAAGGTCAGTGATTCAAACCAGAAGGTCAGTGGTTCAAACCCACTAGCCGCTCCATGCAAGGAAGACAGGCACTCTACTTCCATAAAGATTTACAGCCTTGGAAACCCAATGGGGGTCGCTATGAGTCAGAACAGACTCAACGACAGTGAGTTTGGTTTTGAGTTTCCTCTAAAAAGGGGCATGTATAAAAATGCCTGGATGTTAGAGTGGGCAAAATTATTTACTTACATGTTTGTCTACCATGTGCTCACCTTTCCCCTTTTTAATCGCGCCCCAATTCCAAACTTTACTTTTGGCACTTACTGTTCTTATTATCCCCCCACCCCAATTAAAGCCTACTGATACTTCATTTGCACTACAATATAAACATCAGAGTAACTAAAGAGGAGGTTCTTCATTTTTCGTCCATTCTAAGTAAAATTACACGTATCAGAAAAGTATCATATTCTCAAAGAGGTTAAAATGGTTAAGAATCCGTGCTTTAAATAACTTTCTTCCTTAAAATATGAGCATTCAACGATAACTGGATGTTTTATGATAAAATAATTTCAACCTTACTATAAGATTTTTTTTTTAAAGAATCAGTCAGAAAGATGTTACTATAGTCTCCACTGAGGAAAGAGCATTCTCACTATAAATTGGAGACCCTGGGCCACTTGTTGTTGTTGTTATGTACCGTTGAGTCGTACCTGACTCATAGCGACCCCTCTTTGTGTTTCCAAGGTGGTATCACTATGGAGGTAGATTGCCCAACCTTCCTTCTGAGGAGTGGCTGGTGGGTTTGAACACCAGCCTTCTGGTTAGCAGTCAAATGCCTTAGGCACTATGCTACCAGAGCTCCTACAACTTGTTTGTACTTGACTAGGAATTTTGATTTGATTCGGTAAACTATAAAATCACATTTGAAATTAAATGGAACCACTTTGGCGAGGACAAGATAGTGCCCTGCTAACACACTCTGCCCATTCCATCTACAACACAGACTTAGAAAAACCAAGGGAAACAAATACAAATAATGATCCTGGAATTCTGAGCATCAAATGAAAGGACAAAGAATTAGATTGAGTGCTGACTGGAAAGGGAGACAGGGGCAGGTCAGTCACTAGTGAGAGAAAAGCAGGGACCAGCTGAAGCAATGCCATTTTAAGCAAAGAGGCATCAGATGCAAATGAAAAAACAACTTCACAGAATTCACACAGCAATGAAGACACAGATTAGGCAGATCAGGAGGAAATGAAAGTGAGTAGAAGACATGAAGGAGCTGGGAGAGGAATGTGCAGGGCAACGGGTCAGACTTAGAGTGGGACAGGTGCCTGTGGAGTAAACAGGGAGTCAGAAAAAGGCAATGAAATAACTCACTACTAGGAGCTCTGGGAGCTCTGGTAGCATAGTGCCTAAGCACTTGACTGCTAACCAGAAGGCTGGCGGTTCAAATCCACCAGCCACTCCTTGGGAGGAAGGTTGGGCAAACTACTTCCATACTGATACTGCCTCAGAAACCCAAGGAGAGGTCGCTATGAGTTGGGTCTGACTCCATGGCACATAACAACAACAACAATAACAGGAGCTCTGGGGGACGCTGTAGATAAGGCATTGGGATGCTAACCACAAGGTCATTGGTTCAAACCCAACAGCTGCTCTGCAGGAGAAAGATCAGGCAGTCTGTATATGCAAAGATTTATAGCCTTGGAAACCCTACGGGGTTGCTATGTGTCAGAATTGACTCATGGAAGTGAGTTTGGTTTTTGGGGTTTAGGAGACACTACTTGTTTGAGCTGAGGTCCCACACAAGGGGAAAACCCTATGTTGGGGCAGTTGGAGCAGCTAGACTCAGGGTGGACTCTCACTCTAATGAATCTTGGCAAGAGCTGGATAAACTGCTGTGTGTACCCAGAAAGGTGCCAAACCCACACTAGTAAATCTTCAACTAGTAAACTACACTCTCCACTCTAAAAAGCACAAACCTTGCAGGGGCCTAGGGGTACTCTTCACACTGACCAACCCCATAGCTAGAGAAGTCCTTCTCTCACCCACTGAGATCCCTAGCCACCTCCAGAACAGCCCAGCCACCCCCAACAACTGGCCTCTAGCAGACAGACTCAGGGGCTGATGCTCCCTTGCAGGATGCCAGAGGCACTGATGGATTTTTTTCACACTGAACTCAAGAGGCACACCTCTGCAGCTGCCTTTCTCAGAGGTGACCACTCAATTCAGGCACCTACCACCTCTGTGAGGGGAAAGGTCTATGTTGGGGTGACTGGAGAAGCTAGATTGAGAGTGGGCTTTTCTTGAATCTGGGCAGGAGCTAGATAAACAGCTGCATGTGGCCAGAATGGCGTCAGACACATGCCAGTGAATTGCACCTGGAGAACTATATTCTCCACTCCAACAAGCACAGCCTCTCTGGGAAGAGGGGTGAAACCTCTCCCCACCCCCAGTAAACCGGTGGCTAGCGAAGACCCTCCTGGATCCCCTGGCCACCTTCTCTGCAGCCTAGTCATTTGCTACAACCCTTTCTGAACAGACAGACCCAGGGACTG